TCTGCCGTCTCTGTGTCCTGAGTAATAAAATTTATTGATATATATTAATATGAATATCAATCTTCAAACAACATAAGTAATTGCACACATACTGGAGGCTGTGCTGACTGTTGAACGAGTCGCCGCCCTATGCTGGCTCTGTGTCCGAAGTTGAAATTCAATTGATATACTTATTTAATGATAGCTTAATAATTTATTTAATATTATTATTAAAGTTAACTAGTGACAGGGCGAATAAAATTTTAACTAAAATCAACTCATATTTAAGGTTTAATAAGAATCAGAACTTGGGAAATAAAAACGGACCTAAACATTTTCATGATTCTCAAAACTGCAATTACTCGTAAAAACCATATTCTGCCCACTTTCGTTTTGAATATTTCCAAGCAGCTTCTTAAATATCAGTACGCGATATTTGCGCCAGCCGTTCAGTGGCGTTCACTGTTTGATACGGGACGCAATAGCCATTAGAATATCCGAACCAATTGTGAACTATCAAACTATTCTTTTTTCCTGGTCTGAATGCGATTGAAGTCACTTTGTTGGTTAAATCGGGAACTCCATCAATGTTTGTAATTTGGAAAAGTGCGAAGAAAATTCGGTTTATTTTAGCGAAGAACGAGTTACGTATCCAGCACCGTCTTCAGTTATGTTAATCAAACTAACACGTGGATAAAATAATTGGCCAAATAAAATCTTGCACGTAGGATGGTGCCTAATAGACTAAATAAAAGGAGGTTTTGAGCAGACTGAAGCCATCAACTACCAAATTTACTGCAATGAATACTTGCTTAAATTGAGTTATGGATATTATTCCAATCCCTACGGCCCTCAATATATTCATAAATCACAAGTTTTTATTTTCCCTCACATTGTTTTTTATTATAACTGTTAATCACTTATGTTAGTGAATCAAACCCACACTTTTATCCTCAAAAAATTATCTATCAATGGAGTATGATTAATTTTTTCTTACACTTCAATCTGTCACTGATTTCATCTGATGGAGTTATATGAAGCTATTAATCCTACTAACTTCATTGAGGTTAATTCTTTACATATTTCACACGAACAATTTTAAAAAATTTATTTGGTCTATAAAATATTTCTATTTCATTTACATGTGTATTAATTTCTGATTATATTAGCATTTCCTGTGCTAATAAATTTGCAAGATTCATTATTAAGTCATATTAATAATTCATAACCAAACATAGTTATAAATTACAATACTTAGTGGTAATTATAATAAAATTACTAGTTAGTTATCCAGAACTTCTATGCCCATCTACCTTCTTCTAAACAATTTTCTCGCCGCTATTTCCTGTACATTGTAAGCGCTCACATTGGCCTTGCCGTAGGCGTTGATGTCAACCTTCATGATATTGTAGAGCTGAGGGTAGACAACCGCAAGTTGCCTCTTGACGAATCGTTGGCTGTCGGGGCACAGGGTCTCATAGTACACGGCGATGGAGACAGGTTCCGCTTCCTGGCACAAGACTCCCACTCCCTAAAACAAATACTGTATATAGGATTGCCGCCCTCTGTAATAAACGTTAATATTGTGTACAATATTAATCGTTCAGACCAATCATAGGATCTAGAAGTAAAGCTTTCAAAAAGAGAGAAATTATTAGCATGCATGCCAGTGAATTGAAGTCACAAGGTAAGTTCTTATGTGATATGAAATCACGCCATACAGCATCTAAGTGCATGATGAAGCATGTGTGCTATCCAAAAAATTTTATTGTTGTTGCAGCAAATTCATCCAGGTATTTCAGCCATAAACATGATAACAATATTTAACATCAAATAAGATAAATTAAACAATTGTCTAACGAGATAGAGTTAAACTGTCCAGAAAGATGGGTTCAATCATTGAAAAACATCAGCATTTACTTGCACGAACATTTTTTTGATAGGTAGGGAATCTACGAATAGAACGCTACAAGCTTTTAGATCGCTACTGATAGGTGACAGCGAAAGTTACGGCAAGAAACATCCCTACGGCTTTGATTTCACGAGGCAGTGCTTTATTGGTGACAAAATATGCATTGTGTGGAAAACAAATGATGAAGCCACGAAGATTTAACCATCATTAAATAATATGCTCACAAGCTCAGAGGTTAAGTAATCAAAATGCAGAATTAAAGTTCTCCATGTTATGATTACCTCATTTAATATGAGAATCAGCGATAAAGAGAAGACCACTGATGAAAACATGATGAACGGCTGACTGCCAGAACCCGAACTCTGGAGCTGCTGTTGGGTAACAAGCAGACTTGCTATACGTTCTGTTGTTAAATACACTAGACGTCCACATCTGTTTTGACGGTCTCATGTATTTGTTTTCCCCGCTAACCCTAAACATCTGGTGATAAGCGATAGATCTCTGGACAATCGTCGAAACTTGACTTCACGCTTCATACTTTTGTTATCACTGCTTATCAATAATGCGTTGTCATCTCGGAACAAAATATGCCTAAGCGATTTCGTGTTTTGAACTGTCATTGTGCACTTTTACTATGCTTTTACCAAGTTTACTAATATATTTTGAATGAATTACCTGCATGAAGCCTAAATATAATTGAATAATTGTGTACCTTATCGTATCCCAAGTTAAGGTTGTTTTAGTCTATCTAACATAATGACACTAAATTTTAAGAGAGGTGATAATAATTATATTGATTTAATGATTCATTCTAGGCTAATTTTAATTTCATTTAATTTGTTTAATTATTCACTTCATTCAACGCTACATGAGATTGTTACATTCGTCCATCACCAAAATGCATCTCAATCCCTATTTTTAAATCCAGGCTGACTGCAAGATGTTTCGTTCAGAAGAGAAATATTGTAGATACAACCTGATGCCGACGATGACATGCCTGTCTATGGCATCACTCTGTTGGTGGTTCTTCGACTGGAGAGATCTATGAAAACCGCAAGTTTCGTAATGGCTTTGAAGGTAGGATCAGTGACTGTTATTTGATGTGAGTTTAAAGTGACCTATTGGTATTTAACTGTTTCCAAGATTCCTAGGTTACTGGTGTTTGCATGCCTTATTCTGTATAGGTGCGCAGCATTCTTTAATAATACTTAAATGATGATGGTCCTGCGAAATTTGCTATTGTATATCTACTACAGTTTGCCTATGTAGGAATAAGAAAGTTAGGATGTCGTTCAAAGTGTAAGTGCCAACTGCGTAACTGGACTTAGAAGGGTTCTGGGTGTGCTTGTTGATGTGGTTGCTATTGGCTAAAACGATCTGCCATTAAATTCTAAATATTGGTCGCTTGTGAAGCGTTAATGAAAGATATATCTTCATTACAGATTTGCATCGCGCTAGTATTGCTGGCAACCTCGTTCGCTGCGCCTACGTCATACGTATGTATATTTCTTTGAACTATTGGGAATTGGAATATAATTGTGAACTAGGAATTTTTAACGGCTAAAGATCCGCCGTACTATTGCCCCTACAGGTTCCGCCGGAGGCCAGAACGAACATCATAGTTGGCAGTTCTTTGACTGGGCCGCGAACGTTCGACGAACCTGGAGCTTCGGCTGGCGCTCCTGCGCTTCCAGCTCCCTCGTCGCCAGGTTCTGATGGCAATCGTCAACAAGTCTTCCAAGACGCTAGCCTCTTTACGCCTAACAATCCTGTAGATGTGCGCAGCAATCGTGAAGAAACTGCTCAGAGCGGTGGTAGATTTCAACAGTTCACTGCGCCAAGTTCTCCCGTACGCGCATCTAGTGATCGCGCTCAAAACCTAGTTCCCGATTCTTCAAGATTAGGAGTTCAGCCGCTCAACTTTGGAACTTCATCTTCCGGCACCTCTGATGTGGCAGAAGTTTCTGGTGCAAGACGTGGGGTAAACTTGGGTGGGCTAGTGTCTCCTTACGAAAACCACGTCTTCCCAAGATCTGGCCCTGTGGCTATTACTGAGACTGTGATTGTTCAGGCAAGTCTCCTAGTGCAAATCGGGTCTCCGGCCAATTGGTTGCTTATCGATTAACATGACCGTCCTTGTTTCTTTAGTGTCGTTTGATGGTCACGATATTCCATTTCTTTCAGGTTACGAAGACCCATACTCTCCGCGTTCCTGTGACCTCCGATGTTTGGGTTACTTCAGTCACTCAAGTCATAGTACCCGTCACACAGTACTCGACTGAGCGTCGCTATGTCCCTGGTGTTGCTGGGACTGTAACTTCAGTAATCAGAATAACGAAGACGCCTGTCTCAGTTGTTACGAGGACGGAAGAAATTTTCCCCACCAAAACGATGTTGTCGGTCTTCACTCGGTTCAACACAGTGACAAGGAGCGTAGAGTTCTGGCAGCCAATCGTCCATGTCGCCACAAACTACGAGGTGATCTTTGTGTCGGTCCCAGAACTGCACTAGAAATCAACTTAGAGTCCGAAGTGAATTATATGATAACCTGGTATCTGAATTATTGTTAATTTCGCGATACGGTCCGAACTAACCTATTGTCATCTCCTGTCCTAGGTGCTGACAGTGCCGGTGCTTCAGACGCAGACTCTCCTCCAGAGAGTCTTCACAACGGTCACCGCCACCCGCACCATAGACGTGACCTCTACAAGATCCCTCGTTATTCCCAGGGCTGGTCCCGTGCAACTACCTCGACGTTATGGCTACGCGTTCTAGACTAGAACAATGTAGCTTTGTGAACGGTAGATACGAATAAAATGTCTAGATTGTAAACTGACGACTCGGTTTTCCCCAATAAAGTCGGCAATCTGTTGATTTGAGTTCTTCTAACTACCTATCCGCGCTACAATCGGATTAGTTACTTGATTTGGCTACTGGTAGCTTGATCACTTGCTTAGACTTCAATAGTTGCAGATTGAATCTATAGAGCTGTAATTACCAATCTTTGATAGTTGGGATACTTTCAACGTTAATTGGTGCTCGTAGACTACCATTCAAGCGGTCTCTAACGATTCATTGGGAAAAGAGTAATGGATTATGGTGGAACCTAATTGTATGACCCAGCCTTCATTTCGGCGTAGTAGCAAGCATAAGAACCACTCCGGAGAACACGGAGCCAGTTGGATATACAATGATAACTGCGATCTTTGGATGATTTGGATGGCCGGAGTGACTCTGGAAGCTCGTCTATCTGCAAATTGGAGCCTTGAACCGTAATGGACTAGGCCTTTGATTCGAACACCTTCGTGCAGAAATATCCGCAGAACTGCAAACCGATCTGGTTCGCAACCTTGGTTGCTGGTGAGCGTTTATCGTATTGAAAGTGAATTGATTATTATATATATCTAAACTCAATTTCTAGAAGTATATACTCAGAATAAATCACTTGTAGTGATTGCTTTGTGTTCAGCGGGTCATGCAAATGTACGGGCTTATCGTGAACGTTCAAGCTAATGAATCGGTGTCTAAATTAACATGTATTTCGCCTTAACCTGACGTAGGAATGTCCCAGGTTCAATTGGACAAGTAGAGAGACGCTAATTTATCCAATGAACCAATTTAGGTCATGGTTCTCCAAACGATCCTTCTAGTAGGCTTTTGAACCATCTTATGAACACTAATTTCGCTCACTTTCAATGTAAATAACTGAAAAATAAACTCCTTGGTAGCAGGAATGGGTTGCGTGTGCTTTCTATCTTGAACTTCTTTGTCTTGTTCATTTGATCGCACGCTCGTCATTTCAATCTGATTTGAGTCTCGCTCTAAGTTGGGTTGGCCCAGCAACGTGCGATTAATTTTCAACACGATCGCCAAAATTCGATCGAATTCTCATGTTCTTGAAATCATATTTCATGTTATGACGGTTAAAACACTGTAGATTTTACTAGAACGTTTTGACTATAGGCGAGACCGCTTTGCAAATGAAGTTTTAAATGCTGAGTTCGAGAATCAGGCGTAAATCTTCTGATCAAAATGTAAATCAATTCTAGATACTTCGATTAACAAAATTACGAATTCAATATATTTCAGTTGCAAAGAGAAATATTTAATGACACTACCATATTTTTAATTGCAATGTGAATAAATCACTGATCGAGTAAAATACTAGGCCAGCGTTGAAATTTCGTGCCGTAGATCAATCTGTGATAAATTGATGTGTGATACGGTCATTGTTCACTTCTGTACATATAGTATATATAGGAATGAAAATTTGAACATTGGACAAGGTCAAAAGTTCTACGATATTCGTGAAACTCGCCATTCCCGTCAGCTGTTCGTAGAATCAGTTAAGCGAATGGGAGAGGTCCGATAAGAACAGGTTATTTAACCCATGTTTGTTTCAAGATAGAGACTCGTGTGTGCTTGTGAATGCCTTTGTGAAACCCTTTGAATATTTCGGAAGATAAAACCGTCAGTTTGATTATGCGGACCCGTATGTATATTAGGACATACGAAGAGGTGGGCAGTATAGCGGTAGCGGTAGCGGCGCTACATTTAAGCAATTGTAGCGGGAGCGGTAGCGGTAGCGGTAGCGCCCGCTACATATTTAAGTAGCGATACGAGGTTTTGCCGCTACAGCGCTACCGCTACATTTATAGATAAAGGCTTTAGATTTACAGTATGAAATCGTGCGTATATATGAATACATGAGCTCATATACGTGTTAATCGACCAGCATGTCTGTTTAGTTTTATGGGCACTCTGAATATTTTTGGCCGATATTATTACATAATTTATTGTTTTTATACGGATATTCTTCCGAATCTAAGTTTGATTTCAAGCCCCAGCTCTGATCTGTAAACCTTAACTTATGCCACGCAAACAAATCCATTTTCATGTTAGCAGTTATGGATGTGTTGACCATGCATTGCAATTTGAGCGTGACCAGCGCGTGATTAAAATAAAGTTACCGAAAAGAAATACCTTATATTTTTCTCAACGTTGATTTTTCGAAGTTATTACTCTTTCAGTTTTACTTTACGTTAGGGTTCCAGATATTATTATTTATCGTTTGTCAGGTTGGTAGCCGAAGTGGCATACTTTCCGTAGGTTGTTTTTATAATGACCGTACTGAATAGCGGCGTTCATCTTTATAACCGTATTTCGTCGTCGATGGTGCTACTCCAAGCTCATTTCCGTGCTTCTGGTGCTGGTGGTCGTGACCGTACCGCTACTAACGATGACTGTGACCGTACCGTGCTTATGACCGTACCGATGATATAATTCTTGCGTAGTACCGAAAACTTGAATCTTCTGATTGCCGGCGTTATAATCGTTGGACATCTCGTGGCCTCACGCGTTGGCTCAGGGCTAAGTCACAACCGTACAAATAAGTGAATGTTGACCGTACAAATAAGCGAAGTTACGGTCATTACTCGTAGATTTTCTGACGTTATTATATCGGAGACGTACCGGTATGAATGACTCGACGTTTCGCGCGGCCGTTATTTCGTGACCCGCCGCTCAACGGCCGAAGCCGTTGGGGAGATAGCAACAGACCGTACTGATGTGACGGTCACCACAGTAGAACAAACGTGGGGGGCAATTTTATGATGGTTATATAGCAGGACGTCGCGCACGCCTACCACGGGACGCGCTGCGAAAGTTTCGAGTTCCACAAGGGTCAGCCTTTTGATACCCTCGCCATTCCAACCTATAAACAAACCCCAGGTCTCGCGGTTTTCTACCCTAACTTTGCGGTCAAGTCACATCCTGCCTATTATTGCTTTACATAGCTCAGTCCCTTCTCCACTTCACAACAGCTATTTTCAATATAATCGTATAAAATAGAGTCAGAATTACCTACGCTTCATTCACGCTCTTATTACGGCAGGAAGCATGCAGGAGTTCACTCTTGCTAAATTTTCATTCGCGCAATCTTAGCCAAGTTTAAACTTTTTTCTAGATTGGAAGGTAAAACATAACCAAATTTAGTTCATTAGACTTGAGAGCAGATGTGACGAGGCAGCGACCGCAGAGACGTTGATTTGCATGGTACCTTCTTTAATATCAACTCCAAGTTTCTGGAATATATATTGTATTTTTAGAGCCATTGAATTAATAAAGTTTCACCCTGTATAATTGGGAATATCAAGATAAAACTCGAGCAAAAAACTGTGCTTAAACTAGCCAGTTGAACGACTTCCATCGTTCTGTGGCTCACGTCTCCAACGTTTCTCGGGCCGCTTTCTTGTTCGTTTTTAGTGACTCTAAAACATTGGCCGCTGGAAAATTCTCAAGCTATTGAGGAAATTTAAATGAAAAATACTCTTATGATTTATTTCAGCATTCATGTCATGTTCAAGTTGCAATAAATTTTTCGATTTCGGCATGAATGCGTGTTAGACGTAAATGCGGGTTACAATTGGCGGTTAGCTATAGAAACATAAACAGATGTTAACGAAACTTTTCTTCAGAATTCAAAGCTGCCTTCCGGTGATGCATAGGTGCTGACAAAATTTTAAGGTTATAGAGCTATAAAATAGTAATCCGATAATTAACATAGTGGCGTAAATATCAATTCAGAGATAAGTATAATAATTACATCTAAGGTTTGTTCCGGGTCAATAGATATTTGTGTATAAAGTCTCAGGATTTCTCAGACCTTGAAAATTAAAGCATGGATTTAATAAATTCACCCACAAAATGCATTCACAGGTTAGCGTTTATTGAATACAGCATCTGCAGTCGAACTCGGCTACCCATTTTTGACTCGTAGATCACACATCTCCTAGACGTAAACTTGAACAGACTAAAACTACACTGTTCTCGAAGAATATTCGCTATGGCTGTTTACAATGTACGTATGTATCTACTAAGTCTTAATCAAACAATATCATATAAATTTATGCATAATTATTGGCTAAGCATGAATGGATATAACTTTTGCTACGCTTGTGAATTGCTTAACTGGTCTGCTTGCACCATTGCTGGAGCTGAGCGCATGTGTTGATGAATTCTACTGCTACTGCGTCAAGGATCTGGGCGTATTGAATAAGCTGTTCTGTTTTCCAGGTCCTAAGCATTGTTTCGCTCGTCTCTATTGCTTCATTGACTCAAGCGGTGAGTAGTTTATGTAAGGCGGTTATTGCTAAACGTAGCGAGAATAGTTCAGTTGTAAATTATGCGATTGACCTGTCGTGCGTTTAATTTATAATGCATATTGAGTTTGCCCCCTATGATGAAATTGCGCTTCCATGAATCGACTGTAATGTATTAACGGGTTACGGGATTTTCAGGACGTAGGCAGTCTCGGCTACTCCGATAACGCGATCCGGGCTGGACAGTCGGGCCCTGCAGTTTCGTTCGTTGGGGCTTCTTCGCAGTCTTCCCAAACTTTGCAGCAAGGAAGCTTCACTCCGGACTTTCTTTCGGGGGTGGCTAAACCTAATCCAGCTACATTTGGTTCAACGTCTGGCGGCAATCGTGTCGCTGAAAATAGGTTGACCTTCCCCGAGAGTGGCGATGGCCAATTTGTCAATCAGCAATTCGTGGTGGGAGGGGCGTCCTCCTCTGATGGCCGAAGGAGCGCCCAGGCTACATCGGGCCAGTCTGGACAGGCGGGCGTCTTCACCAGTGGCAGCGGTAATATTGTGATCGGGTCAGGCTTGTCTCCCGCTAATGCACCCCAGTATGAAGAACATGCTATCCCACGCACCGGCCCCGTGCAGCTCACAAACACTGTAACAAATTTTGTAAGTACAAACTTTCTTGGTGCATTACTGGAATAGAAGTGGGGGCTAACTACGACGCCACAAACCATGTGAAATAGACTGATTTGTAGACGACAGATATCAAGACGGCGATACGCAACTTGCGGCAGTTGTAGCAAGAGATTTTTTTAAATTTAGGTTGCCGATAATTGAGATAAAAGTTGAAATTGTTGAAGTTGCTTATCTCTCTACCCTAGGTAACGAAGACCCACACCTTACGGGTTCCTTCTACCTCCGATGTCTGGGTAACTTCTGTTACCATGGTCAAGATTCCTGTGACACAGTTGGCCACTCAGCGAACTTTCGTGCGTGCTGCTCCCGACACTGTAACATCCCTAGTCAGGATTACGTCGACCCCAGTGTCTGTGCTGACCCAAACTGTAGATGTCTTTCCCACGAAAACTGTAGTTTCTATCTTTACAAGTTTTGTAACAGAGACCCAGACGGTTGAATTATGGCAGCCCATAGAACACGTCTCCACCAGCTACGAGGTAAGAACACACCGGCCAAGGAACAATTGAAAATAGTAGTTGCAAGAATGCAAAGAATGTTTTCATGCGAAACTTCGTCGATAGTTAACTTGCATCTGTGAATAACGGGGTTCTCAGCTCTCATCTGTTTCAGCTTGGTTGAATTGGAACGTCCCTCGGAACGGTTCTAAAATTTTTATATTTAGATATTTTAGTCTTGTGCTCAACCTCACTGTCGCAGGACCTCCGACCTGTTGGCTGTTTGTTCCCTTTTAGCCGGTCTGGTTTCCGGAAGACTGATTCTGCTCTGAATGGTTTCATAGCTTCTACTTTGAAAGAGGGAAATTAATGTCGATAGCCTATAACCGCCAGTGGTGAATATTTTCATAACCTGTGAAACCTGTCTTTCAGGTGATTACCCGCCCAGTCCTGGAAACGCAGTCACTCCTCCAGCGCCTTTTCACCACGGTGACGACCACCCGTACCATTAACGTGACGTCACTTAGGTCTGACCAACTAGTTCCTCGCAGTGGTCCTGTCTCTACGTCTTTCGGTGGATACTATTAATAGCCAAGCTGTATGGAATTCTCAATAAAATTTTGTTTAATTAATCCAGTCGTAACCTAAACCTAACGTGATTTTCGAAACGTGCTCCATTGGAGATAAATTTCTTTACTCGGAAAAGAAAGGGGTCGTGCAGATTAATTACAGAAGCTACTTTGAGAGTTTAGGAAAAATCGCGCTACATCTCGAACATGCCTCCGATGTAGTACTTGAAGAAAGTTAGATGCTCAGAAGCGGCAGTTGGCAAGAACTAGACTCCCAGAAAAACGACTTTACTTGCATTAGTGACAGAATGTACCTTCAGTCACTGATATTCTGAGGACCCTGTATAGCGTGCGTGCTAGCTGTCTTGGCCACACTTCAGCATAGAGATGTAGCACAGGATTGCTGCAAGAGCTTCCCCGTGGAAGCCCTGCAGATTTTCAGCATACGGAATGTAGAGATATCTAAAAGATTTTACTCGTTAGCGCTGGAGATGGCAATGCTGGACAGAGGTGCGCATGTGATTCTCTGATATGGAATTGCGATGTTTTGCCCTGGGCAGAATATTTAGAAAATGCAACTTTCGATCTGTCTACAGATAGTTTTCGCTGAACCAGCAGGATACCGCATGGAAATTACAGCGTCAAGACAATACTTCCACAAAAATGCCCTCAAAGAAAGTGTTGATAGGCTTTGAATTACACTTCTCACAATGTCTCCTCGAAAGTTTGGGTTTTGGTTACTAAAGAGCATGCAGTGTTTAGCTTTGAGGTTCCTTAAAATCTAGACCATTTTTGGTAGCGAGATTGCTAATGGCATTTAAATCCGATGGCTTTAAGTCTGGTATTTCGCCGCCACATCTTTGGTCGTATTTTTCCGTAACAACGCTTCTAGATATTTAATCTAGAATTACAGGACTCTGTTTTCGTGATGTCTATATTCCTGATAAACAATGAATCAGCAGTCCCAACTTTGATTGCTGCGGGTAAAGTGTCTTGCGCTTGAAGGACGGGAATAGTTTATGAGTCAGTGGTGTGTTAAATTGGGTGGTTAGACACCATAGCATAAGAGACATTTCATCACTCCAATTCATTATTGGGACCAATTCATCCAATTCATTATCGCTATTATTGCAATTCACCAATAAAGTACATTTTGCAAATCTGTATAGCGTGCGTGCTAGCTGTCTTGGCCACACTTCAGCATAGAGATGTAGCACAGGATTGCTGCAAGAGCTTCCCCGTGGAAGCCCTGCAGATTTTCAGCATACGGAATGTAGAGATATCTAAAAGATTTTACTCGTTAGCGCTGGAGATGGCAATGCTGGACAGAGGTGCGCATGTGATTCTCTGATATGGAATTGCGATGTTTTGCCCTGGGCAGAATATTTAGAAAATGCAACTTTCGATCTGTCTACAGATAGTTTTCGCTGAACCAGCAGGATACCGCATGGAAATTACAGCGTCAAGACAATACTTCCACAAAAATGCCCTCAAAGAAAGTGTTGATAGGCTTTGAATTACACTTCTCACGATGTCTCCTCGAAAATTTGGGTTTCGGTTACTAAAGAGCATGCAGTGTTTAGCTTTGAGGTTCCTTAAAATCTAGACCATTTTTGGTAGCGAGATTGCTAATGGCATTTAAATCCGATGGCTTTAAGTCTGGTATTTCGCCGCCACATCTTTGGTCGTATTTTTCCGTAACAACGCTTCTAGATATTTAATCTAGAATTACAGGACTCTGTTTTCGTGATGTCTATATTCCTGATAAACAATGAATCAGCAGTCCCAACTTTGATTGCTGCGGGTAAAGTGTCTTGCGCTTGAAGGACGGGAATAGTTTATGAGTCAGTGGTGTGTTAAATTGGGTGGTTAGACACCATAGCATAAGAGACATTTCATCACTCCAATTCATTATTGGGACATCTCGCTATTATTGCAATTCACCAATAAAGTACATTTTGCAAACGTGAGTACATGTAAGTCAAGTTAGGTTGGATTGTCAAGGGATGAAATATCCAATTGATGCATTACTAGAATGGTGAAATGTCTCGGATGAGATATCAAGGAACCGTTTACTTGTATTGTGACCCACGAGATCTCGAGATAAGTGTGCACGCGGGTAAAAAACACGAACTGCACTGGCGGCGAGATAATACCTTGACCTTTCATAGGTTAATAAGATTTGCCCCCCAAACAAAAGTCTACAATTGTTTCGCCTGCCTTTTTGACGTTCTTCAAAACGTCACTTATTGGTGCTGCAGTAGTTTTGTATGTACATAATGCATATGTTGAGTTGCTGTTGTGGACAAATGGGACGGTCAGCTAAGGAGCTGATGTAGGATTAACTTTGGTGTTTTATCCAAAATCTGCTCCACGGATTCTGTTCAATATCACAATAGTATAAGACTATGAATCAACATCTTACTGGCTGATTCTGTATTAAATCACCACCCAACTATAGACCCGTGATAGACTAAAGTATTAGTTCAAACAAGTTTTACCCAACAGATACTATTTGGCTCGCACTGACAAGTTGGTAATTTTTCAAACATGTTTCAGGGACATAGACCGTAAAAACTACTAACAAATTTATGAGCTTCCCTAGTCCTTTTACTTTCAAACAACTGTACTTAGGTGTTGATCAAGTGATTCCAAGGCTCTGTCAGAATTGTACTCGTAATATGAATGAAAATTCATTTCATGAACTATGCAGGAGAAATTTTAGTTCGAATTCGCATAAATGTGCATGCTGAAAAGAGTCAGAGGAGAGTTAAAAGAAAACCGTCTCCATCGTTAAACTCTACACCCACGTCACATTCTGGTGCTAGTGGAGTTGTTTATTTCTCGTGATTCCCAGAATTCACTTTAGTGATGAATTGGCATTTTTTGTGCCGATTTCTTTATGCATCGTGAAATGTCATTGATAGTTAGCTCGGTCCTGACGCATCTCCCCATGGTTCCCTTCCCTGCATAGTACCTGAAATGTTACGGACGCTGGATAGTGTCCATAACACTATTCCCATCTTGAAAAAACTGATTTTGGACAATCAACAAAAAATTGTCTTGTTTCGCGAACTTTTCGCGAAAATTACTTCATTTTTGTCGTTCTTAAGAACCTTTCAAATGAAAAGTTAAATCTATCTCAATACGATGGCGTAGAACCGTAGATCATGACTTAAATTGGTAGAAGTTTTAGAAATTTTTTACTCTATGCATGTAGTTAAGAAATTCAACATAGGCATGTAGTTACTTGTTTAGTCCCTCATTGTATGCCATGATGCGTCAACAATAATTAAATTAGAAAAAGACTTTTATGTGTTAAAACTTATAAAAATATAAGGTTCTCTTATGATATGATTATCAATCTATTATAAATCCGAATATTTACTTACCAGGTTTAATTAATCAATATACATGATCTCACCAATGATGTTAACATTTGTTTGTTAACATCATAGATGTTAACAAACATGTGTGAGCCAGCTGCTCTGTCACATTAAATTCTGAAGAGTTAAGCGTGTGAATTTACCTGCCAGACTCATCTGGGAACCAGACGCGCATTGCACCAGGTTGTTTGTCTCGAGTCTGGCATGCGTTTATCTCGTGTGAAAATTCAGCGATTCAAAGTTTTCAACGACTTTTTGTATTATATGAATTTCAATGCAGTTTCACTGTTCGCCTTTCCTCAGTTTCGTTTTTATTAACTTAATAGAAAATATACAAGCGTGTTTAGAAAATATGTCATGAAATTTTTTGAAATGGTAGCTGGTTTTCTTGATGAAATAAATGTCTTCATAGCATTTGGATTTCGGCGCGATTACGAGCACGATTATCTAAACTGTTTTGATGATATAATTATGATGTTTGAAAAATTCTTCAATATGTTTACCAAAGAAGTTTAACCAAAATCTGAATATTGTTTATTAAAAAAGGAAATTTAATTAGTCATGGTCACTACGTTTCTTTCTATAAAATGAAACTGAATAGTTAAATAAAAGGAGAAAAGCCTAACTGTAAGACTATTCAACGTCACCAAGCTATTAACACATGGTTGAATTCAACCATGCTATCAACATAACTTACTGCGGAGTTACGACCCACGGTCAGCAAATGATCGAGTATTGTGTATTGACAGATACGTAACCATGGTTACGTAACCTCCAGGCAGATCAAGGTACAGGTCCCTCTCGCAAAATTATGATCCCTTCCCTTCATAAATGATCATGGTTCAAGTTTCATCAAATTGTAAGAAGAAATTTCTTCTCCATTTTCTTCCCTTCAAGAAATTGTAACTCACTTCTGCATTACTTCTCTCAAGTTTTATTGCTTTTGATAAAAATTATATATACACTCTATTAAGTTTCTCATGTCATGCATGCTCTTCACAAAATCATTCACAGAGCAGGGCAAGATTTTTTTTTCAACTTTGAACTATGTCCATTTTTTTCCGGCTCCTACGATTAATACTTATTATGCAGTATATAAAAAAATTCTCTTCCATCACTGCGTAGTTTTTGATAGCTCATTGGATAAAAATGAGAAATTATTTTTCGATAATTCAAAAGTCGTTTGTCATACACATAATCCGGTGTGATCTGGTTTGGTCCCGAGAAACTGCGTCATGCGGTGCAGGGTTACAGTGATCATTGATAAAGAAATTGACGATGAGCGACGTATAATTTCCAAGTTCTTTAATTGCGATTTCAGTACGATTCGTAACCAAGTTTAGTCTCTGATAAATAAAATGGGAGCTTTCTTTTCATAAAAATCGTACGCGTCTCATCGCAACAAATTTTTCGACATCGAATAGGGATAAAATTATCAGAAATTTGGACTTGATACTCGATTAATCAGCTTGCTGACATTGTGGCGAGACCAACAAGTTAATAACTATAGAAATGAAAGATAAAACTCCGATGAAATCTTAATTTATTACTTCAATTATGTTGCAAGTTCATTATTAACACAATTGTACGACAACCGGCGATTAGCGACAGATTTGATGAATTACTCGTTACTTTTTAAAACCTAACTTAGCCAACACGGTGGATCAGACCCACCTTGATCACAGATGAAATAAAAGTTTGATGAAAGAATTGTGAATCAGAAAGTGACTTTATCGACCCAAATGTTGCGAATTCACAACACCAGAAAATGACCCAAAAAGATCATTTTAAGTAATGAATAACATTCAATCGTAAAGAAACTACCATTCAAAATTTGATGACTAAATACATGTATAAACTTATGAAGTACTAATATATTAGCTTCCGTTACAGTTGTTAAATTCATGCAAAAAGATTAATTGAAAACATTCAATCGTGCGATAATTACTTAAATAATAAAATTTCGTTAATAATCAGAGCCGGCAGCGTTGGGCGGCCAGTCGATGTCTTCTAAATCATCATAGTCTCCACCGCCCTCCACCATCACTTGGTCTATCACTGTACAAGGAATAAAAAAAGCGATTAAAATGAGGGAATAAATGAGAGTAAAATAAGAACCTATGTCTACATAATCATAAGTGAACGTCTACCTTTGACCGCATACGGCCCATATGACATTTTTGCCATGACTCACACGACCACTGCAGCACACGCCATACATTTGCTTTTTAGTCTAGTTTTGGTTCGCCATTAACTGCGTAAGCGAGGTCAATCATTCACAGAAATCACAAAGCAATTAAAGACGGACCAGGTCATCCACATCACACTCTTTTGCAGTATGGACTTAAAATTCATTCATTTGTCAGATTAATCGCGTACACACACCACGAAGTGAAAGCTACATTAGTATCAAGAGAAAGTACCGGTGCCTGAAATATTGTCTTGTTTATCTCTACTTCATTGCAACGCGAATATCGATGCACATTTTTGCCAAGTATCTCTATCATAATCACAGATGACAGATCCAATGAAGTCATAAGCACAATACATAAAAGACACATAAGTAAAAATAAGTTAAATACCTATAGATTTAAAACATCAGCCTCGTCAAAAAATTTATCAACAAATTCTCTACTAACTATAATTACATCTATCCATTTACGATTATTTGACAAATAATCACCTTCGAGAGCAGTTTGTATCTTCTTCAGATTTTTGAGAATTCCCGAAAGGTCTTTGGATGTGGAGCGAATTTGAGAAGACGCGCTCTCCGACTCGCTGTTCAGATGGTTCAGGACATTCTGTAGCAGGTCTGCTCGATCGCGATCTTCCTCTCCATATTGGGTCCTTTAAATTAGCATCGGTACATTAGCATATTGTACGAACTATATGATCAGCCACATCATTAAATAGAATTGTCCGTATGTTTTTCATCTGCATATTGTACGAGCCATGTGATAAGCCACATCATTAAATGGAATTGTCCGTATCTTTTTCATCTGCATATTTTACGAGCCATGTGATCAGTTACATCATTAAATGGAATTGTCCGGTTTTTTCCATTATGAAACTATTCACAATACATTAGTCCCGATTGAATCAATAAAGACAGTCACAACGAATTTAATTGCTATGTTCGAAGTAAATTTCGCGCGCCGCACCAAACTTACTTGAGCTTTTGTAGTAAATTTTCGGAAGTGCCTCTGACTTTGTTGGAAAGTGAATGTATTGTGGAGATGACGAGGTTGTCAAGGGCTTCGATCTTGGCACGATTGCGGCCACTGTTGGACGGAAGCGCCGCTCCTCTCGACCCAGCCGATGACGTCATACCGCCTCCCACGCTCAGTGGCGACCGTTTCCCTTCGCTGCCCGTCTCCTCCACGGTCATCTGTGGTCATAAAAATGATAATTATATCGTCGAATAACAAATTATAGCGTCAAATAACAAATATTGTCAGGACTGGTAACAATTCTCAACATCACAATATTTTCTCAGCTTACTGGGCATCAGTCATATCAATTTTACACAGTTGGCTGAGGCTCGAACCAGCAACTAACGGCTCCAAGCATAATGCACTGAGCACCGAGCCAAACCGTCGTTAGCCATAGTTGAGTGATGATTCTATCAAATCTCTTGTGCGATAATGGTATTCAATATACCCCATCAGCATAAAAAGGAAAATTGACAGTTTTGAAATATGTTAATATTTAATAATACATAACATTTGACTAATATGTTATGTAATATGTTAATAAACATTTGAGTGAACCGTGTATATAAAATGACTAATTGTATCGAAATGAAGACGGTGTGAGTGATAGTTCTCCGTATCTGAAAGACAGAAGAAACGATTCATGTATCATGGACTCCGAAAAAAGCGTAAAGCGGTGTGTTTGATAGTTCTATTTAATTGAGAGCCTGAAGAGATGATTCGTGAACATGCACTCTGAAAAAAGCAGTGTGTGTGTGTGATAGTTCTCTCTAATTGAATGACTGAAGAGGTGATATGTACCTTGCGTGAAGGCGAGGAAAGCACGTGTTCGCTGTCGTCGGAGTGAGCGTAAGACGAGCGTCGTCTTCTGGCAGCAGCAGCGCTGTGGCTTGGTGACGAGGCGTGCGGTGATTGGCTGAGCTGATGCGGGCTGGTAGGTGATCTTCGTAAGGGCGACGAACGAGGCAAGCAGTTTACTGCAGACTGTAAAAGTGGATAAATTAATTTCGTTAAAAGACACCATAGTGAAATATTCTAAGACGAAACTAGGCAGTAGTGAAATGCTTCAAAGTTAAGAATCAATAACAAGCTTTGTTAACAGCAGTTCTGCATTTCAAGTTCTAGATGAATCATTTACGAAGTCAATGAAGATTGTATATCTAACAGAAATATTAAGCATTGTCGAACGTATTAGATAATTTTCAAACGAAATGATCATTGTCCTGACGACAACGAAACAAATATACTTATACTATGAGATTACACTCTATCTACCTTCCTACTTTACACTTAAACAATCTATGATAGCAAACCAATCATTTGTAGATTAATAAAGCGTGGACTGGGGACATCTTCGCCTAGAACGCACACTGTCAATAATGAGGAAACACAAAGGAAATGTTATTCTGATGGATGGGATACCATGAGAACACAGAGTTTCATTGTCATACCTCCTCATCATACGACATAGGCCCGTCGTCTTCACTGGTGTACGTGTTGGGCGGAATGTATGAGCTCTGCGGCAACCTCGGCCACCGACTGCCGCCTCCCAGCATCGCTTCAGTGCCGTGGAACGAAGCCGAGCGAAGCAGCGACCCTGGAGGGCTGAATGACAACTACAATTAACACACTCAAGGCAAAAAAATACACTTTAATCGCGCATACAATGTGTATAAAAATTAGCTTTTCTTCGGCAGACAAAATGTCACGCGGCGTTTGTATCGACGTGCAACCATTAGACAAACATTCATGTGCTGCATCTTGTAGACGATAATATTTAATAATAAGGCGATAATGTTTCCTATATGATTTAACATAACTTCCAGCGAGATACGCAAAAATTTTAAAAAAATAATTGCAGAAACCTATAAAAATTTTATGGATTAAGGGAAACAAGAATGATGCATAATATTAATGATGCATGAAATAAAAATCTCTTTCAATCACACACTCAAAACTTTCCCATACTAAAATGCATCAAGCGTCAGAAACATCTCCGCTAGAACAATATGATGAACACAATAACCAAGCGCGCATAAAGTGAAAATAATAGAATCTTAGACTTGATAACTGTACAAAGAATTTTGCAAGCATATACTAAACGATCGATCTAAATACTAAATGATCAAATACATCAGTGAACGATTCAACAAACCTCGGAGAGCCTCTGTCAGAGGAAGTTATGTTGTCGTTTGTTATCTTCTCAGTATTCCGTTTCTCGAGCTGCTTCTGCCTCCCATCCTTAGCAGCTTTCATGGGGTCGTAATTTTTCCGTCTCTTCCAGTTTTGGAAATCGACTTCTTTGGTAGAGAGTGCAGCGGCACCAGGCCGTGATAGGCCAGTAGCTTTCTTGTTTGATGCGAAATCCTTTTTATTTATTGACGATCTCGACGGCGACTTAGACACTCCCTGCAAACATACAATCAAATCAATCATTGAAATCAATGTCGTATCTTTAAAAATTGTTCAATTTTAGATAGACATTATATAGAACTCGGCTCACACTATAGCCGTATTTTGAACCTCATTTGTAACTAAAAATGTAAAAATTAATATTATGGATTAGCGGCGGAATAACTCAATTGCAATCGAAAAAGAAGAGCGTCGATTAACGTTAATAACATGTTCTGAATCAAGGGATAATTATTTTTTAATGCGAGAAAAATTATTGAATCAATCTACGGAGATTAGATAGGAATAATCATGCGAGCAATACACTAATGTGACGAAATCAGTATTCAAATTCGAATTAGGTCGCGTTGAATAAAATTTCGTTTATGATGTATGAAAAATTTGTTTAAAAATGGAAAATAACGAGATTTTAAATTAGGTGAGAGAATAATCACAATCATCGAATTTATCAATCAACGGATTCGAATATGATTGGAAAGTTTTTATATTTTGACGAGTCTTAAATGTGATTAAATTCGACAGTTAAATTAAAAATTCAAGATCAAATTCAGTAAATCTATACAACAAAATTTATTGGATAAATTAGCCGAGATGAAAACAAGATTCATGAGAGAGAACGACCATATCCCCATTTGAAAATTAATCAACCACTATATTCATCGCTGTAGAAATATGAATTCGTTAAATTGCATCATGACATGTAAAATAATTAATTAAAACAGTTCTGCCAATTGATAAATGTCGACTATAAGCATTGAGTACGCAGATAAGTTCCAAAGACAAAAGCACAAATTAAGGTTGCAAGAAGCCAGGATTATTGTGTTGAGGACGCAGTAAGAGCGGCAAAAATTGCAGCCTACCACCGATGCAGCTGGCACCCGCAGACTAAATCTGCCGCCATCAGTCCGAGCAAAAGGGCTTGCACCAACCGATGAGTCATTCTTCACAGCCGGGACAGCCTTGGAGCTGTTCCATAAATTAGCGAATGAGCCAGAGCTGTAAGGAGGTCTCATGAACACCGAAGTGAAGCTCAAGTTTGAGCCAGACGAAACTGTGTTGTTCATCTGATTCGCCGACTTCATGCTCGGGTGAACTGAATTACGACCCAATTCTGACGTGTCCCAACTTGCCTGTTGAAGTGAAGATGGGACCGTGGCGCCTCCTGTGCTGCGAACGTGAGGCGTTTTTCGGGGCACGGCAGCAGCGCTGGAAGATCTGAGTAAAGGAGATGTTTGTTTGCGACGTTCGGTAGGGGTGAGGGGAGCTTGACGGGCGTTGTGAACATCGTCGGCACCAAGCCGAGCTCTTCTTAAACTGCAACCAAGAGTAGAGGTTACGAATGCAACATAATCTTCTATCATTAACAAACACAACTCGGCAAACAGTTGAAAAAACACACTTGACTATCCTAACTCAACACCGTAAACTATACTTCGATATTAGGTATATTTTATAGATGACTTATTCACAATACATTATGAATTCAAGGGCTGGTTAAAAACGGGATGACATAGGGAAAAGCCAATATAATATAATTGTAGGTACACAAATATTGCAACACGAAAACTTTGAGATGCTTAAAACGCAAACAATTAATAGAATTATAAATTTTAATAAAACTCAAAATTCGATTAATTTTATGCAAATAGTTAACAAAAATCACTGAAAACCAACTGCACGACGGATGAATATGAAATCAATACGCTACTAAAGCAGACACAATTGCAATTAGTAAGCGAGCTAAGAAAAGGTTTACAGCAAAACCATTACTGAATTTTTCGGTAAATTAAAGAAAGCTTGCAAACTGTGAAATAACGAAGTTGTAAGCTACATTCGACGTCCGCAACATAAAACAAACAGAACAAACTAACTAAATAAAAGATGACACGCAAGGACGTCGAGAAATCAAGTTCAATCAAACGCAGAATAATAGAATTACGTTACCTAAAGGCTCTATTGTACTTGAGAGGCGGATTGTTCATGGTCTTGCGTTGCGTCTTCATACTCGTCTCGCTACTGCTATCTGATAGTTCACTCTTCTCTGCAGTGAAACTAGTCGAGTCCCGCTCAGTACAGCTTGCTTGGCCCGGTAGCTTTGTAATCGTGCAATTCAATTGACCGAGCGCTTCTGAGTTTGGTATCTCTTCCGTGAGAGACTTTGTCATTAAACAACTGCCTTGACACAAGGCTTCAGAGTTAGTACAACCTACCAGGCATAGTGATTTGGACATGGGATTAGTTACTGTACAAGGCAATAAGGATTTGGCATACCCTCCTTCGGAAACGATGGATCGCTCCCGCTTTAGATGAGAGGAAACAACTGGGTCAACTTTGGAGGTTCTAGAGTTATTGAGTGCAGCTCCAAATCCTTTCGAAGAACTATCCAGTCCGGACAATTTCAGCTTAGATCGGAGGGCAGGAGTTCTATCCTCTTGTAAGGCGAAGGATGTACTTGTGTCCACATCAGAGTCTCCTCCCGAGTCATGCGACTCGAAGGAAGCTATCCTGTATCCACCAGAAGAAGTGATGGGAGTGTTGTCAGTGACGCGAGCCTGTAGGGATGTTAGCAGGTGTTCAGTGTCACGAAGGTAACTCCGTGTCTCAGTGTCCTGCAACACCTGAAGAGCTTCACGGTCCGCCTCATCGCATAACGACATCAGCTGCAGGCGCCAACATCAAATGGGACGAAGAAAAGCGCAAGAGAGCCGAAATGAAAGAAGGTGGTGCCAGTTTTAGCAAGCGTGAAATGAAGGAAAAACTGAATTGAACTCAAGAATATCGTTAATTCAAGGAATGTTTGTGAGTAAGAATAACATTGGAAAGAAAAGGAGTTTTGAAAATTAGAAAAAGAAAGGAAAGGGAACAGAAAAAGATATGTTAGTAAGATTTCAAAAGATACAATTCGGTGCATATTAATCAACTCAATAGAAAACAAATAAGGGAAAATCAAAGAAAAAACTAGAGCAGACAGGAGACTAAAACGCAGACATAAATTGTGATAAAGCTCGGAATATTTCTGAGCTCGTTGATTAATTAATGTATACTGATAAGATTGAAAAGAGCAGGAGCTGAAGGCAGTTAAATTATTTCCATATTATAACTGTATTAAAATACCAGAGAAACCTGCATATGTAACGAAGTAGTAAGTATATATCATATGCATTGACACCCACCCATATTACAGAGCACGTTTAAGAAAAATTGTTTTGAAAATAAAGAGAAAAACTGGTAAACAAAGATAAGTGGGAGGAATGGCTGCCAAGAGAACTCGGCGGAATGCAGTACAAAAGTTTACAAAAACATGAATGATGCAGAGAAAGGTCGAAATTTCTAAAGTCGCTGCACCACGAATTGAATTTCATATATTCTATTTCACTGAACGAATATAATTATTCCAGTTATCAAAAACTTGAATGGTAAAAGCAAACAAAGATTGAAATAGTCGTATTGTGATATCATTTATCTCCATGACTATTTGAGTCCGACCAAACTGATCTGCAATACTGGCATCATTTCATTTAATACGGGTGACAACTTTTATCACAATTCCAAGGTTATCTCATATTCAACCATCCATTAAGATTCGAGAATACTCACTTGGTCATACAGTAACTATACGGTGTGAAACTGAATTTGTATATAATCCCAGAATCATCTACAATATTAATTATTTATTTACTAGAGCGCGGCATATTTATTAAGCTTGTTATAGTGTAATCTATACCAATTATTTGTAACACGTACGTTCCACCAACGCACCATTTACATCTGACTGTGCCTCGGGCACATATGAGCGAAAAACACACCGTGAACGATTAAAATATTTATCACAAATGAGTACACTAAGAGACATCCCACTAAGCTAGGCACAAGGTTCAAACCTACCCTGGTTTTGGCAAGGGCCTCGAGCTCAGCGAGCTCGTTACTACGAGCAGCACTAGAGGGATAAGATTGCTGCATTAGGGACGGAGGAGTTGGCAGTTTTCGGCGCGGCCGAAGATGGTCGTTATCGGCAGAGGAACCAACTGCAGATGGCAGATGAGAGGTTTTGCCTAATCTCGTAGAGGTGTGAGAAGACTTCAATGTAGGGAGCTCATTGCATTTACTAGGGTCTGATAAATCCCCCCCACTCGTCTGTTCGGCTACTTGAGCAGCCCACTGCTGGATCCAGTTGGGGCTACTGCGACTGATGCCGCTATTCATCTGTCAACAGTTAACGCTTGGTTAGAACAATAGTAATGGGTGCTAGTTTAGAAGTTGGGAAAAGTTTTTTTTTTCAATTATGAAAAATGAATATTTCATATTTTCAGTAATTACATTCAATTAGAAATCGAATATTTATTAACATCAGTTGCGTGAGAAGGGAACGGTTGGGTGAAGGGAAAAATGAGGATGGACTGGAATCACGAAAATGAACACTAGTGCAAAGACTAACAAGCATTTTGAGTCTAGAAATTGAGCACGTCAGTGGCTTCAAGTCAAGCTCAACTGTAGCTCTAACTCATAAAAAAGCGCTTAGCAGGTTAAAGCAAATCAACAGCTTACAGATGACATGAATACCACAGCAATTCATTCACATTGAAAGACAATTTCAGCCCCCGAGGGATAAATTGAGCTATCTTAGATACAAGATTTTGATAAAATAAATATTTTAATCGTATAATCCAGGACGTGATTTCCCGTCTTTTACAACAGAAGACATCTTCACTGTACCACCTTGGCATTTTGAGAAGTTTCGAGTTCCAAAGGGGATAACAGTCAAGAATAAAGAGTGCTATTGTGCTCGAATAAGAACATAACCATTTCAAACTGAGGCGAGACAATTAAGTCATCATTTCTGCATCGCGCGAGCTTCATGGTTATGGCCCTTCGATTACAGTTCAGAGTACAAAGATTAGAGCATCAAGTTATGGGCTTGATCCCAGCTCCCTGCGACAGTTCGATCAAAATCGGTGAGGTGGCTAGGCGGTTAAGAGCAGTAAAATTGGGGCAGTGAGCTGCATGTTCGAGACCCGCAACAGCTGCAACAATTCTGCAATGTTCAGAATATTCGAGAAGTTTAATGGCTTTATCAACGCCGACACCGCTAATATGAATGTTGTAATAACCTCAGCAGTGTCCCAGAGCGGCGTGTTGGCGCTGCCGTACGCCGTCGCCTCCTCAGCCAGCGCGGCGTGTCTGAAGGCGCCTTCGATGTCGGCTTGAGGCTTATCCGCGTCAGGGGAAGACTCCTTGTCGATTGTGTAGGTGCCAGCCTCACTCACCTCATCCTGAAGAGGATAATATAGTATGAAAGGTGATAACAATAAATTGTGTAGGTGCCAGCCTCACTCACCTCATCCTGAAGAGGATAACATAGTATGAGGGATGATAACAATAAATTGTGTAGGTACCGGCGTTACTCACCTCATCCTGAAAAGAATAATAAATGTAAAAGTAACGTCAAGAATAATAGCAATAAATCACCGATACGAAATCAAATCAACAGTCCCTTTGCGTTATTCAAGTTTCCATTTCGAAAGAAGAAGTTTAAAATTATTAAAGATAGTGCCATTACAAAATCGATCTCTGTTTAAATTTTTTTGGGAGATCGAAGACCAAAAACTTATTGACACTAGTATATTCATGAACAAATGTAATCTGATCATTGCATCGATGTACATGAAAATACCAATGCCAATGAGTATCGAAATTGACTCCAAATGGGATGTCACATTTGTTGCATCATCAACGGTATCAAGGGTATGACTATAAACAAGAATTACAAGTTAGAATCCCACCTCTTCTCTGGCCATGTCGTCTGCGAGCCTGTCAATTTTGAAAGGCTGGCAATTGGTGTGCGTACTATCCTCTTGTTTCCTGCCGTCCATCTTTGAGCTGCCCTGGAGGCGGAAATATAATTAGTAAATCGTGTCCAACTAATGTGATGTACAAATCACCACAGAACTCATTTTATAGTTCACACATATTTTTCATGTTTTTAATTTACAGCGAAACTTTTACTTTTTACTTCACAGTAAAATCAAAAATGGTGGAGGAGATATTCAAAGAGCGGAATATGCCAAAAGAATCTATTCCGATCCACTCTCAAACAAATATAAGTTCATAAAATCGATTTCAAAAATAAACAATGTTAATATAAAATTTCCAAGCATTCTGTGATCTATTTCAAGCTGCAAGGACAATAACCACCAAAGTCCCACCCTAACACAATTGTTTGGGTGTTCAGAAACTTGTTCCGTTATTTGATTTTCCGTGTAAAGTTGGCTTTTCTCTGTTGATTGCACTTGTTCTCGAATTTTCCAACTGATGAAGAAGCTGGTCTCTAAAAATTTTCGCTCAAGTTATGATGAATTTACTTAGTGTTTCAATGTCAATTCAGCATAATAATAAGATTCTGTTACCTTGCTGCCTTTTTCAGAAGAAGATCTACTACTCCTGCCAGTGATGTCGGCGACAGATGGTTTCTTGTCCAGCCCCTTGCAGCAGGTCCGTGCGCTATCACCAGGTCGGCTGCCAACGCTGCTTTTTCTAACAAGGAAGACAATTTTTGATCATTTAAACATCATCTTCAACATAATTTTCTTATAAGAGCGATACCGTCGTGTAACTTATACAGCCTAATAACGTAATTTAATTCGTACAGGAAGATCGCAGTCGTGTCATTGCAAATAAAAACATTACGATAGCTAAATAACATAGAAAAGAAAACGGAAAGCTGGTAACAGCAAACTCACACAAGAACCCTCTAGGACGTAGTCAAGTTGAACTCCATTATTTATTGTAAACAAAGGAGTTTCTAAAAGAATTCAAAAATTATGTTTTTTATTTTCAACCATCAAAAAAATCTATGCTATATCAAATGAAATTTGCAAGTTGCTCAAGAAATTCAATCTTCAATTGATACTATGCGTATTGGGTCATATTTTTGATTGAGCCGAGTCTACAAGGATTTGTATAGTGAAAATTGAAACAATGAAATTAGTGTGCTATAACATAATAAAGCATTTTCATTGAGCAGATATTAGGCTAAATCTGTCCCATCACCGATTCTTAGCGAAACTTGATAAAATAATGCTCTGAACCTAGGATAGAGGTTACCTTTATTTGCCGAATGGTGGGCATCTTGCCATAAAAATTAAATTTTTCCGTATTCTTGAGTTTAACAAGTTCCCAGAAATTAGTATGAGCTAAGTTTCAGCTCATAATCCAAAATAGTGTTCATCATCTCCCCTATAATTATATTGGTGAACTGACCTCTTAGTTTCAGGCGTAGAGTTGATCATCTTTTCTATAAGGAAGTTAGCGGACTCGTTGAGAGTGATGGTTGCGGCGGAGGTGCGGCGAGCTGCCCCGAGATCGGGACTTGCTGGTCGGCCTCTGAGTTGCGTTAAAAAACGTCAGCAGGATTTCCAAAATATAAACTGGTTTCAACAAACCCGTGCTTATACTTGTAATTTTGGCGAATAATCATTTTTTTTATTTGAACTTCAGCTTAAAGAATAAGAATGACCGAAGTAGACCTTTGCTGGGATGTTATCATGTCACCTGAGGGAAGAGGATGAGGCTCTGGAGAAGTCCTGGGACGGAGATTTAGGGACGCCGTTTGCGAGCGTTACAACAACAGGTGACTTGGCGGCATCAGGAGTACGAGGTGAGCGAGGACTCTTCACATCTGCAATATTTTAATAAATCTTTATATATATAGTCGAGAAGCCTTTGCTCCATTGTAGGCACAGTTAGGAAACATTTGCTTTTTTGGCAGTACAGTCGGGAAACTATTATTTTTTATCAGCACAGTTGGGATACATAAACTTCTTCATCAGCACGAAAGAGGAAACGTTTACTTTTGCGTTAGCACAGTCTGGAAACGTTTACTTTTTATCAGCACAGTCGGGAAACGTTTACTTTTTTATCAGTACAGTTGGGGAGACATTAAATTGCATCTGAGGTACAATACATACCTAGTTATTTTCGTGTGTTTTCACTGGCTATAGGTAGTTCATGGAAAATAAAAATTTTTAAATCTTGGATACAATCATCATCAACATGTGAATACGAAAGGATTTCTGAGCATTTACTGTATAACATAAACATAAATTACATCCAACAATCTCCGTATATAATAGACGAGCTAAAAAATAACGCATTCCTTGCTTATTGTTCAGAAAACAAAGGAAGAGGTACCGTAATGTGAAGCAATGGCTTTACGCAACTAAGCGTACCGTAAGCTCATAATCTCATAATTATTCATACTTGCGGAAATGAATTAACTTTTCAATACTTCAAAATAGAATTTACAATGTGAAATGATCAGCTGGAATTTCGCCGAAAAATGTAATTTACAATTCCATAAAATTTTATAATTCAAAGTCCTGAATGACTTAAAATTAAATCTACATGTAAATACTATATGATTTAAAATCTTCAGTTTGTTACACCTAAGTTAGCGGAGCTGCAGTTTGAAAAATTGACTTCAAACGGCACAACTGTCGCCTAGGTACGTACAATACGCTCATCTTTATGTTCAACACTATACTGACGCAAATAAGCAAAGAACCATTTATTCCCAACACAACTGGATGCATCATACATTGTAAAACAACTCATTCATTGTAGATTTTAGCACATTACATGTGCATTACAGATGCCTACATACACAGCAACAACAAATCATCCATTTACATTAAAAATTCACAACCTTCACATAATTATTTGAAACTCGCCTGTTTTCCGAGGAGCGTCCTCATCCTGGTCAGATGAGAAGTAACCCTCAGAGTGGTAGCCTCCAACCTTCCTGAGCAACACACCACCAGCACCAGGGTTGCAGGCGCCACCACCCACACCAAGGGTACCACTCCGGGCGCGGTATACGGGAGGTTTACCTCCACGTTCTTCCACCTTCTGCAATTATGAATAAATCTTTTAATACTCTCATTTAAAAATCTGGTGGAAAATACGGGAGATTTAACTCCGCGTTCTTCCACTTTCTACAGTTACAAATAAAGTTTTAAATACTCTTACTAAAGAATCTCATATGTACCTCCACCAGCAATAAATGAAAGCAATTAAATCAAATGAACGCTTAACATTTTCAGCCACAACCTATCTTACAGAGAAAAACTTCTTTATTACTAGAAATCGCGTATTGAATTTAATAGATGCATCGACTATAATATACCTTTATATACAAAGTTGCTTGAAACCTTTCAAATTGTTCATTGAAGCTTCCACAAAATTTTAAACTTGAAAATTAAGAAATAAATTCCTCACACAAATTTAAATTGTGGCTTGCATTATTTACTTGCAAATTAAAACACAAGTTCACAATCATAGAAAACATAATTTTTTATCTTCATTTTATCGACTTTTCTACGCTCCCATGTTTCCAGTCAATAACACAGTAGCCTTGAATTGAAGTAAACGATAGTCCGTGGTTTCTGCCTATAAAGTTGATAATAGGGTATAATATATGACAGATAACAATAAGAAGACAATTATTAACAAATTGAAATTATTATAATAATAAATCCAATGCAGCACTCAACAATACTTTTACTCTTCGATAAATACATCGAACACGAATGTGAAAAATAAGTAAACTTTGCGTACAAATCAACATTAATGTGCAAAGACGGAAAAATTAAATTCTTAGAAAAAACAATAGAAAACACTGTTGCACAAAGAATAAATTCGAGCGTAAATCTAAGCCTGATAGCAATACAGAACACTGAAAAAACATAAGCGTCAATTGACCACGTACGTACAGGCGGCAGCCCAACTATTTAGCCATAATAAACAGTTGGTGGAGTGATGCACTAACCGTGCTCGAAGAAATTAGAAAATTGCACAAATGTATATTTTCTCCGCAAGTATACCTAACATTGAGAATGCTCAAATTTGACGGTTACTTTATCACAGTGGTTATGTAATTGCACTGAATAAGATAACACGATATTTCGAAATTCAACGACACACAAGCTGTAGCCTCGATATCTCAAAATCACGAACCACAAACATCCTACTATTAAATTTCCGGTAAGATTTAATAGCATCTTTTCTTATCTGGTGGCGAGTCGCTATATGTTATCGACTGATACTGAAATAAAGCACCTCTATGTAATGTTCTGTTGGTCTCTTACTTACATAAATAGTATTAAATGGCTGAAACAGAACCCGGACTTGCGCGGCGGTCGAAATGTGCTCAGCTGTTGAAACCTCACAGCATGAGCTTTACTGGCCTATTGTTATCAGCCTTATCATTACCTCCCTGTTGGCTGGGCTTGGAAGGCTCAGAGATATTAAAGTCAACTCACAACAACAGCCCTAGGAGGGTGAGGAGGCTTGCTGGTGCCAACTGTGGCCCAAGTGATGAAGCTACTGAAGCCTGAGGACTCGTCAGACGGCACCTCCTCTTCACAGCTTGCCGAGCTCTGGCCCACTGACCAAGCGGGCAAAGAGCTGCGTCTATTTATGACCGCGCTATCGATGTGACCCGAATAATTTTCAACAAAATTTCGTTTATTCATGATTAAAAAACCTCGATGACGTCGCCGAAAAACTGATTGTATATTTTAAATTCACTCAAAAATTCATATCGCAGAATTTAAACTGAGATTGAATACAGACTTGAAATCCTGAACGAAAAAAAAGCGCACACTCTTATAGTACAACATTCACGTCCGAAGTATCCTTAACAATCAAGCAAATCACAACACAAGCTAAAAATATTGTCCATGTTTAAATGTCTATAGCATTGAATTAATCAATTAAAACATGATGCGTGTGCTATAAAACAACGAATTGAAAAGTTTAAAATCTTGTACGAAGCCAAATTGTTGTTGTTCGTTTACAAATGAAGAGTTAAGTAAAAAAACTAGATACACTAGAATTGAAATGTCTACCGTCATTGACGAATTAGTTAACAGTGTGTTAAACTCATCACAATAGAAACATCGTAGTTACGGAAATCCAATACTTATTCATATTACTCAAAAATAATATATTTCAAACTAAAGTTATTGTTATTTATTTACTTTTTATTGCAATGCGGAAAGTTGAGTACAGTGGCGTCTTATGCCTCGTTGACAGCGAAGTATAAAAAAGCAATGAATTGGAAAAGTATTAATGACAAAAAATCGCCTGACTACATCTAAATTACTCATCTTTCAACTCGGGATTCTCAAATCCATTTCACCTCACTCAAGAACAGATGAAATTCTACACGACAATGCGGAATGTCATCAAGTTACACTGGAAGCGAACAGTCGGATATTTGACACAGTAAAACACGCATAGAAGAAGTTAGAATGATAGGTGTTAATTGCAATATCGCAGCATAGCGGATCGTGTGACACAATGGTCGACGGCTATCCGATCGAGTTTCTCAGCAAAGCATTTTCAAAATATACATAATGATTCTTCAAATTCACATTTTTCCTCTCACAAGCACTGTATTTTTTTGTAAATTTCTGATACGCATAATTTTTAAATTAGTATAGCGGCACGCCATAGAGTTTTCTAGAAAACTACATTGGACAAAAAGCGTGTGCATCAAATCCTAACGCATGTGAAGCGCTAAGAGCCATGGTTCTTTGCGAGTCTTGCTCCCACTCTTCAGTTTCTCTTTATGCTAATGATGGCATATTATTCCCCTGCATTATTTGCACTTTTTCATCACCCAAACTTGAAGATAGTCAAGATGTATAAACGTGGGAGTTGGTTAACATGTGAAAGGGAGAAAAACGAAATTACCACCACGGCCATGCCAGCTGAGAAGGAAGGTGTGGAGAAATTATGTGGTGAAAGCACTAGTCGGTCAGCGGAAGGTACGTCCTAAAGAATCCTGTGTCCACGGCTACGTTAGAGTACGATGGACTCGTAAGTTTTGAAAGTGGCTCAGAAATTAAATTTGTGCATCTACTCTGCTACCATAAATAAAAATAGTCACAATTTGAAAACGTGAATGCATTTAAAGCCGTTTTGCATTAGCGCCTCCATTAACTTGACTGATATGAAGAAACACCAGGTTGTTGCAGACTATTTCCTAAATCAACGGAATCCTATATATACTGAATTGCTTCATCCGTGTCGGAAGACAAAGGTATCTTTGTCCTTCAAATAAACGTGTACGGCACTGCCACACCAGACAGAGAGCGGTTTTATTCAGCATTAACTTGCGACTATCGGACTCGTATTTATGAAAGGCCTTCCCTACCGTGGACAGAAGTAGGAACAACGTACAGACGAAAGTAACATCTTATCACAGTGATAACGTCATCAGAATATTTATGATCTAACCAGACAGCGTGATGACACCCAACAACGGTATGGTCGTCAGCTGCTATGATTATCCCTGCCAATTGTCATGGCCATCCAAGGAATGTGCGCACATGAACAAAAATCGCCACGAGAGTTGGACTTTTCCTTCCATCAATACAATTATGGATAATGGGGAAACATCGTATTAATTGATAAAAAAGCACTCAATCATGACCCTCGAAGAACAAATTCACCAAGCCAGACCGTCGCAACCACACATCACAGCTGACGCAGCAACACTGACCGAGACCGACCGCAAAGTCCTATCAGGCAAAGAGAGTTGCTACAGAGCGAGTGAAGAGAGAGCAGAGAGAGAGACAGTGGTTCTGCCCTTATGGCCGAGCTCAGTCAAATATCAAACAACGTCTCGAGCTGCAAGCTCCTTCAGGATTATCAGAAGGCTGCATTTCTACAAGTTGCGGATGACCTTTTCAATGAAAAATACACTCATAACACGTACGCAAAATACATGTGGTTTTAGATTGACAGCCACGCTCTCGGGTTCCCACTTGAGGCGTTTGTCAATCCAATCTCAAAAGGAATACAAATAGGTCCAAGCGCACCCAGCTAAAAAACAAATTCAGATAATACTGTTTGGTGACGCACGTACTCGGCGGGAGAAATATATAAACAGAAAAGCAAGAACAACGTTCAGAATTTAAATTACAGAACACAACGCATACATTCTCTCAGAATGCGGAACGTTGTCATAGCCAACAAAAGCAATGAGTGACGCATCTATGCGCCGTTGAAGCATGACGAACGTTATCTTATCGTCAGCAGAAATATGGTGTCCATCCTTATCAGCGCTATCGACGCAAATAATAAACCCCACATTTGTCTGTAATCCGGACACTAATGGTACGATCGGAGTCGTAATTTTAATAAGCGTTCTTTTCCGTTATTTATGAACCCATTACTGTAATACAATGCATAAACGTAGATCAAGCCCAGGACGTAAGAATAAGAAATCAAAGAACAATCGAGGTGAAGAACATACTAGAATAACAGTGAACGAAGAAAGCTCTGCCAGATACTTATATATATTCAGAGAAAAAATAATACTGCAGTGCACAGAAGAGAATCTAAAAACCAAACAAATACTGACAACAACAACGTAATAGAAACAATGAAATGCATGGATTTATGGAGTAAATTCATCTCACTCACAAGCAGGTGTACAGCATAAAGTCGATGGCTAAAAAAAATATCAATATTGAACTAGAATGCTAAAAAAGCGACAAGTTTGTGTAGAGAAAAGTACTTTAATTTCCTAGGAAACTAAAAACCAGTAAAGATACGGATACAAAGTTAACAAACGCAACAAAAGCATAAATAATTTTTACAGTGCATGTTAATACAAGGCAAAAAATATCACGTAAGCTCGTTCGAAATAACTTGTACAAATTCAGCGAAAACATGACATTTATTAAACCAATTAGAAGGCTCGCAACTCAGGTAAACAATGAATATATAAAGTAAACATAGTAGTAACCAAAATCCGAGACTTATGCTTTAAATTCATCTATAACATCAAGCAGAATCAAAAAATGCCAACGATTCGAAATTTAAAATAGCAGACATGGGCATAAACTCACACCGTGAACTTCAACAGGAAAACCATTAGAACGTGAAAAGTGTCCTAATAATTACACGAGCAAAAAAATTCGTTAGAATGTATTGGTCAAATTCGCAGGCTGAAGCACAAATAAAATTAAAAATGGGGATGGGTGGGTAATGTGTATACATAGTGCAGGTATCTATTCTACTACAGCCAGAGCCACAGGACGCGGGTGTTCGCGGTTGCCGTCATGGTTTTCTAAGGCAGGGTTCACACCATACTGCCGGGCAAGTACCAGACATATAGGTACCAGTCACGGTCCAATATTCTTTACTGCATTTCCATAGAAGCATTCAAGCCATGGGTATCGCAGGTGCCTTGCACGGCTGGCATATAGAAATGCGTTAAAGAATATTGGACTGGACCGTCACTGGCACATGCCTGGCAGTATGGTTATGAACCGTGCCTACCGTGGCAGCCGCAACAAAAGCATGAATTGAAAGACTGCTTACTTCAAGTCTGCTCATAGTGCTGCTGCGTCGACGAGCTCGGGAGTTGCCGTTTTCATCAAAGAAATTCATCACAACCTGCGTCACAAACATAACAGCTATGGAATATTGGCTCGAAGAATAAATATAATTTGCCGCGCAAATATTATATGTGCTTTCGATATTCTTCAAATGAAATATAGCCGGTTCAATTTATATTAATTATTTATATTTGGGAGATTCCGACAGAAGCTTGAGAAATAGCAGAAATCAATTACTATTGTTGACACTTCAAAAGGATCAGGCCTTGTTATAATCATCAATCACACTAAATGTAACCATTTATATTTGCATAGACGCACAACTGCTGTTGGCGGAACGCTAATGATAAGTGAGCTTTATAACATTCAATTAAGAAAGAAGAATGTGTGAAGGATCACTCAATTAGCGATCTGTCATCTTCCAATAATTACTGAAGTAAACATTTAGTGTAACGGACGCATGACAAAGAACATACAAGACAATATTAATCCCTGTAAAGTTGGAGCTTCTCTCAATGAGCCTCTTTCTATAATAAACTCACAGAAACAGAAAGCGAGCACCAAAACAGAATAAATATAAACGAGAAATTATAAAATAAATTATGATTCCGAAATTCACAGGGACACACCGAGTAAAACCTTAAATGAATTAAGAAAAAGTACGAAAAGAAAATTATCTAAAAAATTATACTAAGAAGGCCACAAACACATGTATACGTACGAACTAGATACGACCAAAAATTTTAGTCAAAGTAACAAGATAAGCGCGCTGAAAATAATATTTCTAATTCTCGAAGCAAAAAGATCGTTCAACAAAACTTGAACGCCATATATCGTCAACAGCAAATCTGTAATCAAAATAATTGCAAGTATTTGAAACGGAAGCTACAAGTTCTTTGATAATTTGGCACCAAAATTACATGAATTAGGCAAATTGATAACTGATGCGTGAGTAAGACTGTCTGTAATCTTTAATTACAGAAATTACATATATACGCATCAAAGCCACAAAAAAATCTTACACAGTACCAGAACTAAGGCAGAAGGCGCCACAAGCTGACAGTGATTCTAGAGGCCACGAGTTCATTATCTAAGGGAACTATTCAATAACGGGGAATTCCAGATGAATCCGTACATAAATAAACTCGAAGCTTGTATTTTATTACTTGGCTGTACATTACTATTAAACAAACAAGCTTCTAAATGAAAACCCGAGAATCTACATATCCTTACAGCACCTCGAAAAATAAAATTCAGCAATAAAAAGGAACATTTATACATGATGATTAAACATGACTGGTTATAACGTATAGCAATAATAAACAATAAAAAATTAGTACAGTTCATATCGGTAGTCACAAATTGGAAGAAAATAACAAAATGCGCCCAAATGCACCGTATGTAATGAACAACATATAAGAGCCCCTTAAGAAACCCTCCTAACTTGGTTCATCGCGTAAATGAAAACGGCAACAAATTTTGAATAAATCAATCCATACGACATTCTTCAAAAAACTAAATCTTCCGTAAACGTGCATTGCCTTAAATAACAATAACAGAATACAATTCATGTTAAGTGATCATCACGTCTGAGTAGATCGACGTATTCAATAACAATAAGAAAATGATTGTTTTTATGATGGTCCATGCAATATGAACATCAATAGATAAATACTGTAGAGTCTTATATAGTATATATATTGTCTATCAGTCATGAAAAACCGAGAAGCATGACTCGGGAGGATACAGTTATGCATTTAATTTAATGGGAAAACTAAAGACGTGATATAAATATCAACCCAGTCAAGTGCGTGGTAGTAAAATTTTAATCACACGTGAGCAGAAAGTTGTATAAAGTATACATAAAAATTAAATTCTGATTTTTGAAATTATGAATCTTGTATCGACAGTGACCAAAAACACCATAACTATGAAAATTTGTAATAAAAGAAGAGGAAGTTATGAAGGAATTTAATAAGAAATGCAAATATGTATTACCTTATTCTCCTCGACTTTGGTGAGGCTCAAGTTTCTTCTGTGTTTAGGCGCCCACTTCGATAACGGACCCGCGATGTCCAGCTTCTTGGCTGAACCCTCACCGTCGTCTTCTTTGTCGAGCTCTATGGTGAATGCTGTAGCAGCTCTCCTGCCCTCCGACCCAGTGGAGGAAGCAGCATCTCCAGAATTGCCAGCACCACCTGCACCCTCAGTATCGTCCTCGCCCCCAACGGCTTCGCTAAGACTCTTGACATCCGCCCCCGAAGGTGAAGAAGCTTGACCGGCGGCCGGTGTGGTACCAGTTAGAATTGGAGGAACCTCGGCGCTGATGTCGGGGTCGGAGTCTTTTCGAGGAGATTCTGTGGAGGCAGAAGAAGTTGTCTAATTAAAATTACCCGTCAGATTGCATTGTTTGATTTATTTAAAAATAAATTTTTAAGAAGCAACAGAAACCCAAAGCATTACATCTCGACAACACGCCAACGACAGAAAATAACTTTTAAATTAACAGTCACAAGGTGTTGTTGGTGCTCAAGCAGACGCCTCACGGAATTTCTACGAAGAACAAGAGAAAACATTCGTCTATGATAACACTTTCAAGGAAGGCTACATCATTTTCTAATCTGAAAATTCCAGCAAAAAATAAACCGAGTTTCAACAGTAGGTGGTGCCTCCCAAGACCGGAACTTTTCAGAACCTCCATCACATTTCGAAACATACTTCTTACATACCTTTAATCGAAACATGAAATACACGAATGAAACCCAAAAAGCAAATTTACCACGATATACAAACACTTATAGTAACTTCTAACGACAATTTATTCATAATCCACTGACCCAGAGCGGAAAGTTTTTGAGCGCGAAATTTGACGGGAGTTAAATTCAGTCGAGCTAATTTCAAGAATGAAGACGGAGATTGCGACTCGCTGCTGCTGGTGAATGACATATCCTGTTTCGGTGATGTCCTCTCCCAAGACCCAACACTTTCTTTCTGATAATCAGATGAACGATTCCACGTTCCTCTAGAAAATGTTGGTGTTTTCGCAGCGTCTTCATTAGCGTTATCCAAAAGGGACAAGCTGCTAAATCGAGGCGTAAACAAACTTCTTGGAGGATATCCACTATTCGTTCCACCCACGGACGACTGCAAACTGCTGCTGTAACCCGAGTCTTTGGTAGGCGAGTCGTCGCCGGCGAAGCATGTCAAAGAGGATAAGTATGGAGCAACCTCGTCGCTTCCACCAGGTGCACAATATCTTGGAAATTGTCTTTTATTTGCCGAATGGTGGGCATCTTGCCATAAAAAAATAAAATATGCATTCGGTATTAAATTTTTCCGTATTCTTGAGTTTAACAAGTTCCCAGAATTAAATATGAGCTCAGTTTCAGCTCATAATCCCAAATAGTGTTCATCATCTCCCCATAATGATATTGGTGGACTGACCTCTTAGTTTCAGGCAGTTGATCATCTTTTCAATAAGGAAATTGAACGACTTTCCTCTTGGTTTCAAGAATAAAGTTGATCATCTTCTCAATAAAGAAGTTGAACGACTTGCCTCTTAGTCTCAGGCGTGAAGTTGATCATCTTTTCAATAAGGTAGTTGGGCAACTTACCTCTTAGTTTCAGGCGTAGAATTGATCATCTTCCTAATAAGGAAAGTAACGACTTACCTCTTAGTTTCAGGCGTTGAATTGATCATCTTCTCGATAAGGAAGTTAGCTGACTCGTTGAGAGTGATGGTTGCGGCGGAGGTGCGGCGAGCTGCCCCGAGATCGGGACTTGCTGGTCGGCCTCTGAGTTGCGTTAAAAAACGTCATCTTTTCAGCTTTGGACTGTAGGTTGACGGCAACGGTAGACTCTCGCACTTCTTCGGTAGGACAACACTCGACGCAACCTCGGAGGATGACGTGGTGTAACCCGAGTCTTTGGTAGGCGAGTCGTCGCCGGCGAAGCATGTCAAAGAGGATAAGTATGGAGCGCCCTCGTCGCTTCCACCAGGTGCACAATATCTTGGAAATTGTCTTTTCAGCTTTGGACTGTAGGTTGACGGCAACGGTAGACTCTCGCACTTCTTCGGTAGGACAACACTCGACGCAACCTCGGAGGATGACGTGGTTTTACCATGAAGGGGAAGGTTCTCGAATTTATTGATGTACGTTCGAGCAAGACTTTGAGCAGGTCCATTAATCGAGTCGTGACCTGGACTGGGAGCGCTTGAATAATTAGATGACGTATAGGGGCTAAAGAGAGAAAGTCCCTCACTACCCGTCAGTCGCATTGTTATTGGTTATTGGAATCAGCTATAGAGAGTAATACAATAATATATTCAAATTCCACAACTCCAAATTCTTTTTCATTTAACGCCTGAAGTACAAATTTTTCTACAAAATTAAAAATTCAACGCTCAAAAGTCCAAATTTATGATATGCTTTTTCTGAAAATAAAATTGCTTACTGAACATTACGCAAAAAATTATTTCAGAAAAATTCCCTGCATTGCAAGTGCAATAGCAATCGAAAAGTAGACAGCTTCAATTTGCATTAGCTTTAATGCGATACAAACTTTTATAATGCATGAAATATTACACACAATCATTCCTCGAAGGGCATGCATACACACGGACTGTTGTAAGAATAACCCACTAGTCGAATGACTGGCAGTGGAACGTGCAACTGCACTATAGAACGATGCATTAGATCGCGGGTTGCTAACTACTCCGCATTCCTGTGCAATTGCCTCGACACTGGCGGCCATTGAAGAACTGAACGGGACTACCGGTCTGTCGTTGGAGTGTTGCAGCGCTGTCTCATGCGAAGGCGAATGAGACAGCGAGATATTTACACGGAGATGACTGAAGAATATGATCAGGTTTAGAATTAAATTAACTGTATGTACGCTGATCGTTCAGAATTTTTATCGAATGTGCAATTTGTTTAGATTTCGTTTTTTTAATACAATTAGACAAATATCTAGCTGTAAAAGCGAAAAATGATCTGCGAATTCAAGGCAGTCGGATCAAGAATCTTCAGTATGTATATACAATTTAGGAGACTAGCATCAGCAAATTATTGAACAAAGGGTTCATTGAAGTGGTCGCATGCAGCAAAAAAAACGGTAAATCCTTGAGCATGAGCTCGTTGTAGCTACGTACGGTATGCATTATAAAAACGGTAATTCCTTGAGCAAATTGCTCATCGGAGCGATTGCGTGCAATATGTAAAATGGAAAATCGTCGAACATATGGCTCAGTGAATCAGTTCGAAGTTTGAGCAGTTAAGTTCGAAAACGGCTAACTTTTAGAACTATAAAATTGAGAACAACTATGTTCGCTTGAATGATCGAGACTTGCTTCAGCTAGTTGCACAACGCAATTAACTGCTAACAAACTTGTTCAAGTTTTGACTTGAGTTATCGCAAATGGTGTCTGTTGCAAGCATATGGAATCCGAAACTGCATTCAAAGAATTCTACTTCGGTCTCCCGCAAGGTCATCGAGAGGGAGAAAGAGGAACCAGACGTGTCCATCTTGAGGTCCAGATGTTGGTTCGGGACCACTCGCATACCAAGATACCTACTTCTCAAGATAGAAAGCATACTTATATTTTGTTTGAACATCATGAACGATCATAATAATATCGTAACTTATCGAATTTAAGTAACAATCTGCATGACTCATGAAGATATTTAGTAGAGTCATTTATCGATTTTTCCGATCTAGGTTGAGAGATCGAATAATTAGTAATTTCCAGTATCGTTGTCAATTGAAAATATATTTAATCAAACATACTGAGAGTTAGGGAACATTCTAAGAACCACAACGACAGCCAAGTAATTTCTAACTCTAGACATGACTTGTTCGAAGTGCAATTTTGAATTTGGTCAAGAGGAACGTAATGAATGATGTGTTCCAAAAGATGGATAAAAAAGCAAAAACCAAATAAGATTAGGCTCAATTAAATCTTTTCCAATAATCACAGTAAATTTCAATTGCAACAGCGTTAAATCACTTTACAAAGAATCATCAGTAGCTATGAATTAGTTTGTCTACCTCATTATCAACGAGGCTTATTATATCACCCAAGATTTTCGGTTTGCATCGAGTGCACCGAGACTTGCGTTCATGAACGAGGAAGAAGAAACGTCAGCGCTTTACCATGTAGTGCTATGTTAGGCAATATCCTACACTAAATCCTTGGTTACATTCACTAACGCAAACTTCTGCCCACATACGACCCACACTTGACCGTGGATCAGCAACTGCACGACACAGGAACACAACGCGCACATCTCACCGCCACGACAGTTCAGGTCCAACTAATCCACTTGGCGGAGTGGAATGCCGAGTGTTCAGCGAGCGGCCTGCGTCTGCGCCGCTGCCGCAGCGACGTCTCAGCTGGCTGAACTTTCAGCTATCCTTCGGCATGAAACCTCACTGCGGCACACACGCCTTATTTATGATGGCACGCCCTAAGGCTGAGACATGTTTCCCTTATATTCAATACTGCGTCCCGTTTTTCCAACCATTTTAAACAGCAGCTTAGGTCAGGTATCTATAGTTTTACGTGTGACCTCACCGTGACGTGATAATATGTTTCAATGATATGTTCTAATAATATATTTCAGATGAACGATATCTTCAGAGTAACACTTGAACATATTATTTTCCATCATGTGTTAATTATACTCCATGCTACGATATTTTATTTTTATTACAAATATAACGTATTTTGTTCATGTGTGAAGCTCATTCGTCCATCTTTAGCAAAGAAGCTGCACCTCATGCATGAAGCTGCACCTCTTGCATGAAGCTGCACCTCTTGCATGTAGCTGCACCTCTTGCATGTAGCTGCACCTCTTGCATGTAGCTGCACCTCTTGCATGTAGCTGCACCTCTTGCATGTAGCTGCACCTCTTGCATGTAGCTGCACCTCTTGCATGTAGCTGCACCTCTTGCATGTAGCTGCACCTCATGCATGTAGTTGCGCCACTTGCATGATCGAAGATGCACCGCATTAATGTAGCTGAACCTTGTTGTTAATGGTGCAGTGATGCTTGATGTCGAGTATTATGAATAAAGATGAATTTTGTAAATAGTAAAGCGTTTTGTTAATTAGGCTGAGCACTGCGTATCGTGCCCGGCCTTATTGCGTGCGATGCTGTGCCTGTGCCCTAGCTGCGTGCGATGCTGTGGCTTACGTGCGATGCTGTGGCTTACGTGCGATGCTGTGGCTTACGTGCGATGCTGTGGCTTACGTGCGATGCTGTGGCTTTACGTGTGATGCTGTGGCTTTACGTGTGATGCTGCTTCATGCGTGTGGTGCTGTGCCCAGTAATGTCGGTTAGCACACATAAACCGA